AGAAAGGAAAGACAACTCTTTGAGTAACAAAATGGTAAGAAAAAACTCTCTATTGTCAACTTCGTTTATCGGTAAAAATAAGCAAACTTTTTGAAAAAAACTCGTTATACTCACTTTGTAAAATGACAATTTGAAAATTGGACGATCCATAACTCCTCAACGATATGTTCGATTAAGCTGAAATTTTTACTCAATATATAAAGTAGCGAGGTCTATCAACGATAAAAATTTCAGTCCTGAATCATCTTCTATTCTCGAGAAAGTTACATTATATTAGAAAATGTAGTGACAGTTTTGTAGAAATGTTGAATCACAATTTTTCTTGAATAGATTCATGGTTCATGTAAAAATACTATTTAAGTTACAATTTAAGTGACTAATGTAGGAGAAGAAAGTTCGAATTTGTTGTTGCCTTTTCCTTATTTCCTGCTGTTCGTGGAGATGCAAAAAAAAGGCTTAATTCGTTGCAAAGAGTGAAGGTGATATAGTTACAACATTCAGGAAAATCAAACGACGACCAGGAATTTAAAAAACATTGAGAAATGGAATCCAGCTATCAGAGTGTAGTTTTGGACATCGTAGTCTTCACGTAAAGCTGCTTTGCTGGAAAAATTAATAGAAAAAGCTTGGAACTGCGTAGTATAGTTTGGGTATTATTTTCAAGTGTTGCACTATTTTGCAGACGTAAATGCGTTGTTTCACCTTCTTTTTTGTCGTTTTTAAGATGAAAGATAATTATAAGTTTCGTAATGAAACATATCGCCAAAGAATCAAACTAAAAAGGAGTTTATCGAAAAAATTTGACGAGGAATGTAGAAGAAAAAAAGCAAAATGGCGTAGAAACAAGAAAGAAGAACGACAACAATCAAGCATATCAATACCGAATGTATCTACTTCCAGAGCAAGTGATTTAAGAAAAAAAGAAGGTCAACGGCGTCGAAGATTACACCTATCAAACTTAAAGGCAGATAATATTAAATTACGAGAAACAGTACGAATATTGACAAAAGAAATTAAACAGCTTCGTTCATCTCGAACTCCAACACCACCACCTGATTCACCATCAAAACCTTTTTTTTTGATAATGTTAGTCCAAATGCTAAACAACGTACAGTGTCACGTCTTAAAGATAAAATCGAAAATCTACCACGGGGTACATCAGCACAAATCAGAAGTAAATTCGGTATTAATGTATCAAAGCAAATTTTACCAAAAACGAATTCTCAATCATTGATTCAAACTGAAATCGAAACATTTTTATGTCGAGATGATATCACAAAGTTATGTCCTGGCAAACACAAACAAATTGACGGTAATCAAATTCGATATCGTCTTAATCATTTGAATATTCTCCACCAACAGTTTGAATTGGAAAGTAATATAGATATAGACTACGTTACGTTCACTCGATATATCCCATCTTACATTAAGAAATCGAATAATGATAGTTGGGGGACATGCTTATGCATGACATGTCTTAATTCTCAACTCAAATATGAAAAACTTCATCAATTGAAGCGTAAACGCGCTCTTATCAAAGTTATAGTTGATTTCACACCTATTGATTTATATGATTTAGCAAAAGACGAAATAAAAGTTAATGAATTTAAAGATAATTTGACTAAATTAGATAAAGAAGATGAAGATATTCTTGTTACTTTTTGTGAATGGCAGAAGATAAAAACATTGAATTGTACAGCTCCTGTTTCTACAAAAGTTTCGCTATCTATATCGATGAAAGAGTTTATAAAGAAATTTATAATAGAAGCTGATGTAAGTGTATGTTTATTTTACTAGAGGATGTTCACAAAACTCATCATTAGGTTTTTATTTTCAATAGACTCTAACAAAACATATTTGTCGAATGAGAGAACAATTTCGTGCTGCCAAAGCAGCTAAAGAACAAGCAAAAGAGAATACACAAGTGGCAAAAATTCAATTAGATTGGAGCGAGAATTATAACTTGAAAGAAGCAAGAGAAGAGAAAGGTATCCAAATAAATGATGTTTCTATTTAACTATCTCAGTATGTAGCTCATTCAGTGAACATCGGATCTTGTTTTTCATTTTTAGGAGCGTATTATTATGAGCAACATATTGCTATTCAATCAGGATTTGTATGGTTGAACAATAATTCCTTCTGTTTTGCTAGTATTACCCACGGAAAAATATTTAAGTAGATACCGCTGTTAGACGCG